TACGACATTTTGTAAAACACAGAACTGCAGAGACAGGAAACAGATCAGAGGTTGCAAGAAACTATGGTTGAGGGTAGGGTACTGATTACAAAAGAGCTTGGGGCTACTGGGCATGGTGGCTCACGCCTGTAATCCCAACACTTTGGGAGGACAAGAAGGGCAGATTGCCGGAGCTCAGAAGTTCAAGACTAGCCTGGGCAATATGGTGAGACCCTGCCTCTATAAAGAAAAAGAAAAAGAAAAAAAGCTTGGGGGAACTTTGGGGGATGATGGAAATATTCTGTATCTTGATAATGGCAGTGGTTACTTGACTGGATGCATTTGCCAAAATTCATAGAACTGTATGCACTAAAAAGGGTGAATTTTCGGCCGGGCGCGGTGGCTCACGCCTGTAATCCCAGCACTTTGGGAGGCCGAGGTGGGTGGATCACAAGGTCAAGAGATCGAGACCATCCTGGTCAACATGGTGAAACCCCGCCTCTACTAAAAATACAAAAAAATATTAGCTGGGCATGGTGGCACGTGCCTGTGATCCCAGCTACTCAGGAGGCTGAGACAGGAGAATTGCCTGAACCCAGGAGGCGGAGGTTGCGGTGTGCCGAGATCGCGCCATTGCACTCCAGCCTGGGTAACAAGAGCGAAACTGTCTCAAAAAAAAAAAAAAAAAAAAAGGGTGAATTTTACTATCCATAAATTACACCTGAATAACCTAACCAAAAAAAAAGAGTGTTTCTGGTGAGACTGTGTGCATGGACAAAAGGCAGATGTTATCATTTTTCTGCTGGAGAGTCTCACGTTTCAATAAATGCCAGCAGTTCCCACACAGGGAATAGGTAGTTTCCCTAAACAGAGTCATTTCCCCGCTCCCACCTTCATTTCCACTAGTGGTCTAAGCTCCACCAGGCACAGTGAGCTTCCCACTCAGGAAGGGCCAAGGTTCAGGAAGAGGGAGCAGAGGCGATGGGGTGAAGCAGCAGACCTGCTCTGTGGGCAGCAGAGGACTGGATAAAACCAAGTGGTTTATCCCTGAAGCTGCTCAGTCACTCTCTCGGTTAATTATCTGTCTGCTGATTCATGAGTTGTGGTTCCTGTGGGAATGCTTCCTGGAGATTTCTGCCAACAAGGGAAGAAGGGTTCTTGGGACTGGGAGGGGATGATAACCAGAGATCCCAAGTAGGGTGGGGAGCTTTAGAGGAGAAATGTGTATCAGGAAATTCTAGAGTCATAGCCAGACTCCCCCTCCTCACTGTGGTGTGCTTGCCTCATCTTATGGTCTTCCCAGGAGACCTCTGTCACTCCTCATCTTTGCCCTCACACCCACACGACCGCCAGGGAGAAAGGGGAATGTTGCCCTTTTAATGGCCCCTCCCAGGAGGGAAAAAAAAGTCAAGCACTTCACAGAGGATCCCTTGAGTTTTTCACACTCTCAGATCACAGGTTTAAATGGTGCAACAGTGCAGTGGTCCAAATGCCCAAAGAACTCATGATCTCAGCAATATTTTAATACCATCCAGATTATCCAAATGGAGCACTTGAGGATCTTATATGAATGAATGCAAATATTCAAATATTGGGTTTCTTAAAGTGAGGCACATCATCTATAGATGACTTTTCTTCACATTCCATAGATATTTATTTTCTGCCTATGTGCCAGGCACTGGGCATAGAGTATTGAACAAAATAGACACGTCCCTCTCCTCATGGAACTTCTAATCTTACAGATGCTTTTATCTTCCTGTTTTTTCAGATAAAGGGCTTGAGGTTTTCTCATGGGTAAAGCAAATGTATAAGCCTCTTTCCTTCTTGGCTTCTTCTGTGGATTCTTGCTGGGTTAGAGCGGCTGAGATACGCCATGCCAGCAATGAGGAATGAGTTGAAATAAAAGGGGCCCCCTCTCACATATGTGTGGGGGAAAGGACCCCATCAGTCTCATTCTGGAAACCTGCACAGTGCTAATGCATGAAGCAGTAGCAGCTTTTGCCTTCAATACATAGTAGAGAGAGTGATAGGAAAAATAATGACAATAGTAGTTGTCATTTACTGAATAGTTTTTTTGTGTCTCTGTCTCATTTAATCAGCATAATCATAGAGGCACTGTTTCCTCTACCTTACAAATGGGGAAACTGAGCTCTCAAGAGATTAGGTAACTTCTTTAAGGTCACACAGCCAACAGGAGACAAAGTCAAGAATCAAACCCACATCTTACTGGCTTTAAACCATAGCTCTCCCTTTCTGAAGCCAACAAGCCTTCCGCCTGTGTTTCTCCAGGACTTGAGGATTCCTGCAGAGGGCTTCAATTGGAGAGTTTCTAGGATACAAACTCCAGAAGAGAAATAACCATCTCAGCTTAGACCTAATCAGGTCAGAATAAAAACTTAAACACGGGGAAGCCACAAAACCCATACTTCCTGGGTGACGCTAAAAAGATCATCTTTGTACATAAAATTAAAAACTTGATGCTCTCCTCAATCAACCTCTCTTCTCCCCAAAGCAGGCTCTCCTACTGTGGGACAACGTTTCTGTGCCACTCCCATACCCACTTAGCTCTTTCTGTGCCCCTTCAACACTTGGAGTCCCAACACAACACAAAGGTAGATGTTATCATTTTTTTTGCTGAAAAGTCTCACGTTTCAATAAATGCCAGCAGTTTCCACATGGGGAATAGGCAGTTTCCCTAAACAGAGTCATTTCCCTGCTCCCACCTTCGTTTCCACTAGTGGCCTGAGCTCCACTCTGCTACTCTGGGACAACCTCTCTGTGCCACTCCCATACCCACTCCCACCATCTGCTTGCTTCCCCAGGGATCTGATGACCCTGCCACCAAAACTGGGATGGCAGATACAAATATGGTAGAAACTGCTTTGCAGGGCTGGGGCCAGGGTATTACTCTGGAAGTCTGACTTTAGAGCCTCTGCCCTTAAAAACTACCCTACATAGCTTCTCAGAGAGAGTGTGGGGCTTTCTCAGCACAACCCATCACCACTTCTGGAATTGCCCCAAACACAAGATTAATCTGTGAACCATCTCCTAAGGATTTTTTAAATTATTATTTTTAGTAGAGATTAGGTCTCACTATGTTGCCCAGGGTGGTTTCAAACTCCTGGGCTCAAGCAATCCTCCTACCTCCACCTCCCAAAGTGCTGGGATTACAGGCATGAACCACTGTGCCTGACCAGATGCCTTAACGGATCTTTTAATGCAAACTTAGGTATGACAATGCAGTAGAATCCAATACACTCAAAAGTGAATTTAGAATACTATGAAAGTAAGAAATGTTTAATGGCAGCAAAAATTGTTGTAAGTGCATGGAAGCAGGCATCTCTGTAGGAGACAGCTGAGCTGCCCTGGTGGATTTCTCCATTCCCTGCATCAACAGCCAGCAGCATCTGACACAAGGCTCCATATGTCCCAGGGCAGAATGCTGGAGACTCCTATTTCCGTGTCTCAGTCAGCAGGCTGTTCACTGCAGGCTAACACTATCAGCTGATCTGTTTTAGTCTCTATCACATGCGAAGTTCAACAATAACCACTGCAATATTCCCCTATACATCAACTGTAATCCCTCCTTCAAGATATCCTGGCCCTGTCCAGGATAAGACATAGGTCTATACATACACAGAAGAGTCTTGAAGAGAATCACTATTTTCGAATAGTTTATCTTTGAAGTGAACTTATCAACAAATCTTCCCTTTTTAAAATAAATCCTGGCCAGGTGCGGTGGCTCACTCCTGTATTCCCAGGACTTCGAGAAGCCGAGGTGGATGGATCACTTGAGGCCAGGAGTTCAAGACCAACCTGGCCAACATGGTGAAACCCCGTCTCTACTAAAACTACAAAAGTTAGCCAGGCGTGGTGGCAGGCGCCTGTAATCCCCGCTACTCGAAGGAAACTGAGGCAGGATAATTGCTCAAACCCAGGAGGCAGAAGTTGCAGTGAGCCAAGAACGCATCACTGCACTAAGCCTGGAAGACAGACTGAGACTCTGTCTCAAAAAAGGATAATAATAAAATAAAATAATCCCTTCTTCAGGGTCTAGATTGTTTTATGGGTACTACAGTTTTTATTAAAAATGCTTACATGCACTCTGTGTCATCTCTGAGGCAGAGGCAGCCCCAGCGGACCAGGAGCCAGGGTTTCTCCCCACCCCAGGCAAAATCACCAAGGAGAGGACCACGGGCAGCACCCCGGGCTGTGCCCGCTCCAACCCTCCGCCCCAGCACCAATGTGGCTGAAAGCTGACTGCCCTGACGGCTGACGGTGTGCGCAGCAGCCAGAGACAAGGCCAGCTATCCCACCGGCCCAAGGGAGTCTTTTCGTGGCTCCCCGAATACACTAGAGATTTTTCGGGTGCAGGGTCTGCCCCGGGAGCAGAGGCACCCGGGAAAACCGGAGGAGGCAAAGCCCTCGTCCTGCTCCAAAACAATCTCACAGGAAGCCAAGTTGAAGAGCGGGGCGGGAGGAGAAAGAAAGGAAAAAGAAAAAACCTTCTGGAGAAATCCTAACACCAGGAGAAACTGGAAATGTGGGAAAACTGGAAAATGCGCGCGCTCGCACGCTCTCACCGAAAGAGCCACAGCGGCATCCCCCTGCCAAGGCACGGGAACAACCCCCGGAAGCCCCACCTCGCCTTGGCTCCTGGGCCAGTCGTCCTTGGCCCGGCGGGGACCACCCGCGAGGCGCTCAGCCCCGGCTGATATCGGAGCTCAAAGATGCGCCGACCGCACCGTGCGCTCCGAGGCGGCCGGGAAGGCACTCAGCCTGGCTGAGGGCTTCGGCGTCCCGGAGGACCCGCCCCCAGGCACTAGACACCTTTCGGCCCCGCCACCGCCGGGCCTGGAAGGCCCACAGCTCCCGGCTCCGACGGCCCCAGCCGGGACCCGCACATTCTGAGCGCAGACGCGCAGGACCCGTTCTCCGGGTTTCCCCGCTCCAAGTCCGCAACTTGACCGCGGCACGGATCCTGGAGGAGCTGCTCCCCGCAGAGCTGGAGCCTCACTCACCTCCGACGCCGACGCCCGCCAGCATCCCCAGCGCCAGCACAGTCGCCCAGAGCGGCGGGGGCCGCGGCCGCGCTCGCATCTCGTCCGCCTCCCGCCGCGCTCCGCCCGCCCCACAGTGGGCGCCGCGGCCCGCAGCCGCTTTTCCCGCAGCCGGAGGGGAGGGGACGCCGTGGGTGGGACGCAACGGGGCGGGTCGCGGACTCGCGCTTCCTCCCCTTGGGCTTCTCTGGACCCTGCCGCTGACAGGGAACAGTCAGAAAGTGCTGCTCCTCTCCTCCCCCGCCTCCCTCGCCCCCCTCGCCTAGCCCACGGGGAGCCGCCTGCCAGCCGGCGAGGCGGCCGGGCCTCGAGGAGGTCGTGAGAGCATCCTGGTCCCGGAGGTCCGCGACTGGGCGCTTGGTGTGCTCAAAAAGGCCAGGAGCCTGTGGCCCGTCTCTTTACCCTTCCAGTCCCACCTCCTGGGAGATGCCCCCAGGCTCTGTTTCACCTGGATTCTTGGGGCATATTCACTCACTACCTCTAGTTTCATTCATTCACACTGTAATTTATTTGATTGACAAACATCTGTTGAATGCCTTCTCTGAACTAGTTCAGTCCATTATTATTCACTAATTTTTTTCTTGCCTTAGTTTGGTTTTCCGTTCAACTTTAAGCCTATTGAGAACAAAACCACATCCCAAGCTGTGTAAGCAGTGATAGGTCAATGAAGAGCCTCGCCCTACAAACGCTTGCACCTAGCCGGTGTCGAAAACGTTTCAGAACAGTCAGCATGTTACCTCCAAATTCACACTCACAGGCTTTGGGGCTTTATCTATTTCCCTCAAAGGCCTCCTGCCTGACTCCCCCAACTTGTGGCCCCTTAACTCCTACCCCAGTCTTTCTTTAGGCCCCTGGATCTTGCTCAGACTTAAAACCTCTGGAAGCTCAGAGAGGCAAAAATACTACGGCTATGAGCAAGAGGCCACCAGGAAGTAGCTGGGGCAGTGCAGCCTGCCTCAATGTGATAAAAACAAGGCCTGAGGCATCACTTCCCCTTTAGGGCTTTCAGAGTGGCCCTGGGCTTCCCTATGACCCCTTAGCATGCCCACCCCCTTCTGAGACACACAAGATGCTGGACAACTGACCTTGACCCTGTCCCTCCAGCCTATCTCCCACCCTAGTCCAAGAAGATACTTGTCATTCCCAAAAGCTCCATGCCTTCCTATCTGACTGATTTTTCCTTCCTTTTTCCACTTGGAAAATTCCACTTGTTTTTCAAAACATCTCAGATGCCATCTTTTCCGTGTAATTTTTTCTGACAAACCCCCACTTCCAACCCTACCCTTCCAAACACTAGGATACACCTTAATAGTAACACACATCAGCAGAAGTGTCAACAGCAATTTGCGAGGGGAAGAGCCAGCCCTGCCAAGGGTAGCTGGGCCCTCTGACCTGGGCTTTCAGACTGCAGCTCCATCTACTTCTCCTGGCTGCAGAGGGCCTCTCAGCCAGAAGCATTTAAACAGCAGTGTCAATGCCCTGGAGCAAAGTTCACGTTGCATGGCCTGGTTACATCTCTGCCTAGGTATTTACTTATTTGCTCCTTTTGTGTGTGTGTGTGTGTGTGTGTGTGTGTGTGTGTGTGTGTGTGATGGAGTCTCGCTCTGTCACCCAGGCTATAGTACAATGGTGCGATCTTGGCTCATTGCAACCTCTGCCTCCCAGACTCAAGTGATTCTCCTGCCTCAGCCTCCCAAGTAGCCGGGATTAAAGGTGCATGCCTGCATGCCTTTCCCATATATGTAAAACCAATCTTCAGCCACTTAAGTGTCTCCTCAGTCCATCCTTGCTGGCACCAACCACTTGGGGTGGGCACTGGCCTCAGAAAATAAGCTAAGTTCACAACCCTTGCCCAAGCCCTAGCAAACATGACATGATAGGGCAAATGAGTCCGTGCGGCACTCCCAGCCCCAAGGAAGGCAAAGGAACTAGTTCATTCACATTTAGTATAGTAATTGATGGTTGTGTTTAGATTTACTATCTTGTTATTTGTTCTTTTTTTTTTTTTTTTTTTTTTTTTTGAGATGGAGTCTTGCTCTGTGGCCCAGGCTGGAGTATGGTGGTGCAATCCGGGCTCACTGCAACCTCCACCTCCTGGGTTCACGAGATTCTCCTGTCTCAGCCTCCCTAGTAGCTGGGATTACAGGTGCATACCACATACCTGGCCAATTTTTTTTGTATTTTTAGTAGAGACAGGGTTTCACCATGTTGGCCAGATCAGGTCTCAATCTCTTTTTTTTTTTTTTTTTTTTTTTTTTTGAGACAGAGTTTTGCTCTTGTTACCCAGGCTGGAGTGCAATGGCGCGATCTCGGCTCACCGCAACCTCTGCCTCCTGGGTTTAGGCAATTCTCCTGCCTCAGCCTCCTGAGGAGCTGGGATTACAGGCACGTGCCACCATGCCCAGCTAATTTTTTGTATATTTAGTAGAGACGGGGTTTCACCATGTTGACCAGGATGGTCTCGATCTCTCGACCTCGTGATCCACCCGCCTCGGCCTCCCAAAGTGCTGGGATTACAGGCTTGAGCCACCGTGCCCGGCAGGTCTCAATCTCTTAACTTCATGATCCACCCACCTCGGCCTCCCAAAGTGCTGGGATTACAGGAGTGAGCTACTGTGCCCAGCCTTATTTGTTCCACTGTTTTGGTTGCTTTCTCAGTTTCTCTTTTTCTGCTTTCTTTTGAGATAATTTTTTTTTCTCTACTGGCTTCCTAGCTACACTGTGTGTGTGTGTGTGTGTGTGTATGTGTTTGTTCTAGGTATTACATATTCCTCCTTATCATACATAGTCTATGTTGAATCAATATTGTACAATTCTATGTAAACTGTAAGAACTTGTAAACTAAAAATAAGATTCTAAGCTCCACCACCCCAGCCATATGAACTGACCCTTCCTCTCAGCCAAGGGCATTCCAAAGTTAATCTGAAAATCTAGTTCAGGCCATTATGTGAAGCATTGGGGAAGGTAGGAGGGGGGTTGAACATGCATCACAGCTGACCAGCATTAGTATCAACACAAAGACCTTAAGACTGATAGAATAGGCTAAGTCTGATAAGAAACATTTACAATCTATTTTCTCTGAAATCTGCCTTCTTTTGGCTTCATCTGCATGATAATTGGTCTCCATAATCCTTTATCCTAACCCAGACATTCCTTTTTATTAATTCTAGGTGTTTAGATAATAACTCTTACAACCAATTGCCAATCAGAAAATCTTTGAATCTCTCTGTGACCTGGAAGCCCCTGTGTCTGATGTCCTGCCTTTCTGGTCTGTACCAATATTCTACTTATATGTATTGATTGACGTATTTTGTCTCCCTAAAATGTATAAAACTGAGCTATAGCACAACAGCCACAGGCACATGTCGTCAGGACTTCCTGAGGCTGTGGCACAGGCATGACCTCAACCTTGGCAAAATAAACTCCTACACTGATTAAAACTTGTCTCTTTAAGTGATTGAGACTTGTCTCTAAGTGCATTAAAAATGGTCCACTGTTTGCTGTCTCCATCACCTCTGCTGAGAAGTCCACCATCCTTTATATTCTTGTTCCTCTGTCTTCTCCCCCTGGAATTTTTTCCTTAACTTTCTATTTTGAAATCATTTATACTTACAGAAGAGTTGCAAAATACTAAAGAGAGTTTTATGTCCTTCACCCAGCTTCCCCTACTGTTCACATCCTAAATTTCTACATCATAATTATCAAACACGAGAAATTAATGTTGATATAACACTATAATCTAGCTACAGAATTTGAATTTTACCACTTTTTCCACAAGTGTTCTTTTTCTGGTCCAGAATCCAATCCAGATCCCTACATTGTATTTAGTTATCATGTCCCCTTAGCTGGCCTCAATCTGTGACATTTTCTCAGTCTTTCTCATTCATCACTTTGACACTTTTGAAAAGTCTAGGCCAGCCGGGTATGATAGCTCATGCCTATTATCCCAGCACTTTAGGAGGCCAAGGCTGGTGGATCACGAGGTCAGGAGTTCTAGACCAGCCTGGCCAACATGGTGAAACCCCATCTCTACTAAAAATACAAAAATTAGCTGGACGTGGTGGCCTGGCCAACATGGTGAAACCCCATCTCTACTAAAAATACAAAAATTAGCTGGACGTGGCACCTTTAATCCTAGCTACTCGGGAGGCTGAGGCAGTAGAATCACTTGAATCTGGGAGGCAGAGGTTGCAATGAGCCAAGATCGCACCATTGTACTATAGTCTGCGTGACGGAGCAAGACTCCGACAGAGCAAGACTCCATCACACATACACACACACACACACACACACACACACAAACACACACACACACGCACACAAAATCAGCCAGTCATGGTGGTACCTGCCTGTAGTCCCAGCTACTCAGGAGTCTGAAGCAAGAGAATCACTTGAACCTAGGAGGCAGAGGTTGCTGTGAGCTGAGATTGCACCACTACACTCTGGCCTGGGGGACAGAGGGAAATTTCGTCACAAAAAAAAAAAAAAATTAGCCAGGCATGGTGGTACATGCCTGTAGTCCCAGCTACTCAGGAAGCTGAGGCAGGAGAATCACTTGAACCTGGGAGGCAGAGGTTACTGTGAGACAAAATTTCGCCACTGCACTCCAGCCTAGGTGACGGAGGGAGACTCCATCTCAAAAAGGAAAAAAAGAAAAGAAAATTCTATTTCAGTTTTTTGTAGTAGTGTGTTTATGTGGGGCTTGTCTGTTGTTTTCTCATGATTGCATTGAGGCATTTTGGACAAGACTACCACAAAAATCACGCTGTGCCTTCTCAGTACATCGTATCAGGGAGTTTATGATGTTGACGTGGTTTATTACTTTGATCACATGGTTAAGGTGGTGTCTTCCAGGTTTATTCACTATAAAGCTACCATTTCTGTGGATGACAAGGACTTAGCCAATGGATAATAAAAAGTAAAAAAATACCAAAAATGCTCTGTGATACTGGACAAAGAAAATAGAGAAAAAAAATACCAAAAAAAAACCAGGCATAATGGTTGAAGAGATGGTAAAATACCATCAGATAAATTGCCAGTATAGAACTAATAGAAATTCTAGAATTTACAAATATAATGTCCGAAATGAAAATTCTCCTGGATAGGCATCTGTTTGTAATCAGTA